AGAAATGATTTTCTAAATTAATCTCAGAATTATTGTTAATGGGTGTGTATAGAAATATTATAAACAATTGTAAGTATAATTTCTATTTAATTTATTATTACTTCTTTTTTATTTTCAATTTTATATATAATGATAAGTTTTAAATAAAAAAAAAAAAAAAAAAAAAAATAAAATGTTTCGTTATTAAATGTATATGCATTGAAATTCTTAATTAATATCTCGCAATGTGAAATCTTTCAAAATAAAATTATTACGAGAAAATGAAACATTTTACAAATGACAAACATTCGCCACGCAAATCATGAAATTGGAAATAACATTTCATTGGCCATTTAAAGAATATATTTTTCTTATAGCAATGATTTTCTCTTTAATCGCCTGTCACTGTATACCATATTTTAATGGAAATCTATACACACGTTTCAAATGTAATCCCATGCGTGCATAAAACTGTTGCATTCTCCGGTGACAGGTAAAAGAAGAAATAAAAGGAAGAAGACGAAGACGAAGAAGAAGAAGAATAAGAAGAAGAAGGAGAAAGAAAGAAAGAAAGAAAGAAAAAAAAAAAGGATCACGCAAAAGGATCGGTGAAAGCGAAAAGAAATTTCTACAGAGAACAAAGTTGCTTGGGAATGTCGAAGAATTTTCTACAATCTTTCTACCACATTCCTTTTTTACAAAGATTCTATTCTAAAACTACATCCTATCCTACAATTACTACTACCACTACTAATACTAAAATACTAATACTATTACTAACTAACCAACATTATCGCGATACATTGAAATAATAAATTGACGAACGTGTTATAGAAAAAATTGGTCACGCAAAAGTCTACTCAACAAGAAGAAATAAAAAGAATAACTCGCGACCATATTCCAAGTAGAAATTCATCAAAGATCATAGGAACAACGTAAAAGATCATCTAACGACTTGCAAAAAAAAAAAAAAAATAAAAAATACAAATCAAGAGAAAACGTATATTTATCTCCAAAAAATTAATGTGCGCAAAATGCGATTTATTGTATAATAAAATATCGAAAAAAAATCGATTAATAACAGAACCGCCAGTAAAATAACCAAAAATCAAATGCAACAGACCAAAACGTAGGTATACATAAATATATATGTATTCGTGAATATCATTGATTATCTATCACTAACCCCCAAAAAATTTAATTCATATAATAATCCATCTATTATCTAACGAATAAATGAATTATTTAAAAAAAAGAAAAAAAACCTGTGTGTATATGTATGTATGTATGCATTCGTGGATATCGTTGAATATCTAACAAAATGATGATTTATTCGAGTGTCAAAGAATCGAATAATAAACGAGGGAAAAAATATGAGAATTTATGAAAGATAGAAAAAGAGAAAAAAAAGAGACACAGAGAAAGAGAGAGAGAGAGAGAGTGGGGTTGTTGGAAAAGGACAAAGACAAAAAAAAAGGGATAAAAAAGATGGGACGATTCCACGCATATTGTAGTATCAAAGTTCTCTCTTTTTTTTCTCTTTCTCTCTCTATCTCTTTCTATCTCTATCTCTCTTTGTATTGAAAAAGAGAGAGAAAAAGAGAGAACCACCTACGTCGAACGCTTTTATAAGACAAGCGATGCGAACGACGTAGGTACGCTTCATAGCGATGACGATACCCACGTGCGTTTTACACGTGAAAGAGGGATGAAAAACTGATCGGATTTGCACGGACCAGGTGGAAGGGCTTACGTCAATGGCGACCTGATATGCTCCTGTCTCCAAAGAAAAAGATTGAAACAAGATAGATGGATGGATGGATGGATGGATGGATGGATAGATGGATGGATGGATGGATGGATAGAGAGAGAAAATGAGAAAGAGAAAGAGGGAGTTACCTTTAACGAAGGTAGAAAGATAATCCTAAAAGAAATAAAAATCAAGAAAGAAAGAAAGAAAGAAAGGAAAAAACAAAGAAGAAGAAGAAGAAGAAGAAGAAAAATATCTTCTTGTTAGATTTTATTTTGTCAATTAATTTTTTCCACTTAACATATCATTACGCATTTTTTCATTTAACTATTTTATTTTCACTATTATATCGATCTGCCCATCCATCTACCTGTTTTTTCTCTCTTTCTCTCTTTTTTTTTTTTGAAAATAGTAGGAATTTGAAAAAGGTGTTGGGGTGGTATCATTAGATAGTTTTTGAGGTGAAAAGAGGTCGAAAGGTCGACGAGGTCCACGTTGAAACCTGACCTTTTTCCCGAGATCTGATTCTACTTTGAGAGAGAGAGAGAGAGAAAGAATGAGAGAAAAAAGAGAATGCGAGAAAGAGAGAGATAACGATCGATATATCGTCGATCTAATGGCACCTTCGACTTTCTAACTGTCAGAATGTATTTTTATCTATGCGTGTGTATATGTGTGGACTTTTCCTCCAACGAATTGTTGGTTACGTCTTATAAATAAATAAAAACACACTTATATACGTATGTGTATAATACAAATAAACAAATTATTCGATTAGTAAAGTTTTGAGAATAAGATGAAGTAGAAATGAGAAAAGAATTAAATAGAAAAAAAAAAAAAAAAGAAAAAAGTTTTTAATGCAATTTCCCGATCACGATTTCTTCCTTTCACAATGGTTGCCCGGATACTCTTCTAATGCATTTACATTTCTCTTATTAGGGGATCTATCTAGATCGGTAGACCAAAAATACCTTTACTAACGTTCAATTATTAAACCGAGCGTCAGAATTTCAAAGTAACTTCTAGCCAAATTGGTCAATACTCCGACCTATATAAAAATATTGTATGTCCTGTTGAGAGAACGTTTATTAGAGACCTTCCCCCCCCCTTTTTTCCTCCTCCTTATCCTTCTCATCCTTTTCTCTTCACCCTCCTTCTTCTTCTTCTTCTCCTTCTCCTTCTCCTCCTCGTCTTCCTCCTTCCTCTACCCTAGTCATCCTTTCGAAGAAATCGTAACGAATATAAACTCGCTTGCTTATCACTCGCTGAGAAACGATTATGAAATATTTACGGAACATATAAATGTTTGATCATTTGTCCTTGCTTATATTCATTTTATTCTCGCATCAGCCCAATTTCTTGCCACGCCATTTTAAATCACGATCATCGGATCCTTGGATTGTACAAAATTCGACCTGAACTCAACAGTGTTTATCATTTAAAAAATATTTAACCGACGAGAGAACAAAAGACAAAATAAAAGATAAAGAAAAAGAAAAAATATATATATATATATATATATATAAAATTCTACTAATTTGAATTTTATATCGTCGTCTTCTCGTCGTTCATCACAATTTTCAACGAAAATCTCGACGCGAATCTGAACATTTATTTTCTTTCTTTTTTCTTTCTTTCTTTCCACCTTTAACGACGTGAACTCATTAACGTTACTTATTTGCTTGTATTCTTTTTTTTTTTTGGTTTAAAAAAAAAAGAAAGAAAGAAGTATAAAGAGAAAAGAATAATAAAATGTCCGTTTGATTTTATCTACGATAAGAAATATCTGATAAACAAAAAGTTACAGAAAAGACATTGTTATAAGAAAAGTTTTTTTTTTTTTTCTTAGTTTTCACACAAGAGAAGACACGAATATTAATAATAATCGGTCGATTAATAATGTTAATATCGAGAAAAAAATTAATATCCTCACTTGTAATTTGTAAATTTAACGCCGAATATTCTTGAAAAGAAAAAAAAAAAAAGAAAGAAACGAAGAAAGAAAAGAAAACAAATCATAACTTATCCTTGATTCTCGCGAAACAATTTCTTAAATTCGTTATCTCGATTTATCTTTCTCTCTTAAAAATTAAATTAGAAAAAGGGGCTACTTGTTCACGTATCGTTTCGAGATCATAATCTATTTCTACATCGATTAAATATCTCTAAATAAAAAGCAGTAGTAAATTAATTAATAATATCGATGAACTTCGATCGATTTCTTGTAAACATTTGTTTACTTGCAATCAGAAGGGAATACATTAAATTACAACAAAATAATAATCAAAAAATTAATTAAATAAAAATATAAAAAATAAAACAATTGTTAAATATTCGAAAAGATTTTCCTTTGGAGAAAAAAACACACACACACAAAAGAAGAAAATAAGGAAAGAACTTTCGTGTAAATAGAAAGATACAAGTGTACGTGGTGGTTGAGAAAGAAATTCGCTACCTGAAATGATAATTGAAATTCTCATTCGCGTGTCATTCGTCAGTTTTCCTCTCTTTATATATTTCTCTCTCTCTCTCTCTCTCTCTCTCTCTCTCTTTCTCTCACATACACATAAGAGAGTTTGTTTCAGGCGTGAAACGAGCTTCGAAGAGATGGGCGTGTTTCACGTGCGAAACTTCCAACCCACCGTTGCTGCTGCTCCCTTTTTACGGATGCATTAGCACGAAAAGGGGCTATTTTTTAAATGTACCTGCGTAATATACGTAACACACAGAGAAACATTTCCTAAGATTTTCATTCTTCTTTCATTATTCTTACATTATTGTCTTCTTTTTTCTTTTTTTTTGATCGAAGCGCAAAAACGAATAAATTTGACATGAAAATTATCTTAAACGGGTGAGACAAGAAACGAATTAACGTAACGCGATTTACTCGAACGATAACATCAAATTTATGCAAATATATGTGTGTGTATATATATATATATAAATACATTTATGTACATTTCTTACCGTTTGTGTTAGCATTGTGTTAGTATATGTGTGCATCGGTGTATGTGTACGTGTTTGTCCTGCATGTAAGAAAGAAGTAATCCAAGAGAGTCATATGAAATTTGTCTTTGCATTAGTTGCGACTTGCATAACGTTTCCAAAACGTATGACGTCAGCACTTCCAGTGTGTATTCCTGAGAAGATTATCGATGAAACCATTCTCTCTCTCTCTCTCATACTAACACTAACTTACACACTCCTTTCGTTACCTCTATCTATCCATCCTATCTCTCTTACACATTTTCTCTTTCTCTTTCTAACTTAGGCTCTCAGGTGGATCGATGTCGAGACCGCGACGTTGCAGTTTCTTCCTAGAATTTTTATGAAGTCAAACCTTTTTTCGGCTTTCCAATTGAAAATATATGCAAGTCGAAAAGAAACGAGAGAGAGAGAGAAATAAACGAAAGAAGATCCTTCCGAGATCAACAAGACACCCAACGATTATTTTTAAGAAGAAAACTAAAGAAAATGTCACGACGATTGAAAAATTCTTGAATGATGCAGTTGGATGATGCATACAAACTTGTATGAGTGTACTAATCGTTTAATTTTTCGATAATTTTACATACGACGACAACTTTCAGAAATTTACAAATATTTAAAGGAACCCCACGCGTATAACGAACGTTATCTCATCTCTCTGTCATATTTCGTAATAGATAACAAAACATTGGGAAGAAGGAAGGGGAAATAAAATCAAGTTAATCGAGTTATTGATAAATATTGCTCCCAGGGGTCTTTCAAAATCGGCACGAATTCTTTTTTTTTTTTTTTTTCTTCGAAACGATTCATATTTTCATCGACCATTTTCGCAAAATTATTTCTACGTATATAAAAAATTGTAATTTTGAAGATTATAAATTGAATATATTCAAACCTTTTTTTTACAAATAACAATATGTATTTGAAAACATGACAAATGATTTGTAATTCTAACAATTTTGATAATACTTTTTAAACACATCTTTTTTCTATCCAAGAAACAAATGGACTTTCAAGTATTAATGAATTTTTTTTGTTGAGATCTTTATAAAAATATATATTTTGTTAAACCAAAAACGTGGAATAATTTCTGGATGATTTCAATATCGTTAAATTGCCAAGTAAATGGTATTGTCAAAAGAAAACGTAAAGAATTGATATAAATATACAATATATCTATTATTATTATTACGTTACACGAGAGGAAAAATACAAGAAAAACTTACGCCATTCTCTATTGGATATTCATTTGCCTTTCATTTTGTATAAAAGCGCGTATTGTAATATTACGAATGTTCCGCATGCCATGAATAAAATGAAGGGAAACTTAGTTTTGTATTGTCGGCGAACGTGAAGAAGGAAAAAAGAAAAATATATATGTAAAAAGGAAGAAAGAAAGAAAGAGAGAGAGAGAGAGAGAGAGAGAGAGAAAGAAAGAAAGAGAGAGAGAGAAAAAAAAAGGAAAAAAAGAAGAACAGAATCAAACTACTCCTACGTAATTTCGTATAGAATTCTTTTCCCGCATTTTGTGAGATTTCAAATGTATGCAATAAAATATAATAAAATGAAACAAAAGGAAAGAAGACAGAGATTCCGAATATATTCCAAACGAATATTTGTAAAAAAAAATTGAAAAAAAAAAAAAAGAAGAATAATATAAAACAAAAATGCACACATATCTCGTAATATCATACAACAACAACAACCGATTTTGTGGAAAGTAGAAAGTAATTAAACGTAATTTACGATAGGTTTAAAATCTTTTTTATTTCTTCAAAAAACAATAACGATTCTCAATGAAATTTCCGATAAAATCGTCTCTTTTTTTTTTTTTTTATATTTATATATTGCTTCATCTTTTTCTTTCAATTACAACGATTTATGTCATCGAATGATCTCGGAATGAAGCTTAGCCCATTTTCTCAGCGTGTGGTGTCAGACATTTTCTATGAATGAAAAGAGTCAACGTTTAGGTCATACGTATTAGAAATTTACATATGTTTCAAAGAAAGACCCCACATTGTACCTGTGTATATTGTGCTATGAGGTCGCGGCATTGCGCGAGATAAGTATTATTATCATAATTATTATCATTATTGTGTTGTTGTTGTTGTTGTTGTTAATGCACGTAAAGCGGGCAAGTTGGTCTAGGCTCTTCTCTTCTTATTTTCTTTTTTTTTTTTTTCTTGTTAAAAATCTAACGATAAAAACCGTCAGTCTGATAAGATTGCCTAAACAAGCGAACATAAGAGGCTTAAAGAATTTTCTAGCATATAATCTTGCGCATATATATATATATATATATATATATATACATCATACGTGCACGAATATTTTTTTTTTTATACATGTACTACTAAAGAACAATTTTCGATAACCGAAAAATGTTTAACGTGGGAAGAAAAGATGGGAAAATATTTTTCAATCGATCGATCTATCGATCTTCTTCTTCTTCTTCTTCTTCTTCTTCTTCTTCTTCTCAGACCGGATGTCATTCGATCTTTAAAATATGACAGAAGACTCTAAAGTATCACTTTAGTTGATAAGATTATAAAAGGTACGCACGTATCATGCATATATGTATGTGTATAATATGTGCATATAAGTGTGTTTGTATGTGTATGTGTTACGTGTGAAGAAATTAAAAGAAAATTTTGTAAAATTAAAATTGCAAATACATCTATGATTACAATCGTTGAATGTAAATAAATGAATTATCGCGAAGTGTCTTGAATTTTACTATAATTAAAACTTTATCATTTAGGTATAAACAAAATATATATATATATATAAATATATATTTTTTTTAATATTAAATACAGTTTATTTGCAATTATTTTTTTCACAAATGAAATTCTTCTTTATTCTTCTATTTCTTTCTAATGTCTAACGTTCTATCTAATGTATGAATAATTTTTTCGCACGTGCAATTCATTGCAATTAACTGCGTAACTCTAAGACATTTTGAAATGTTTTTATTACAACTTATATTGAAACTTTCTGCAATACCGATGCAGTTAAACCCGCACGAGATTAGTTACCGACAGATGGCAGTATCTCATAGAATCTGCTCCACATTGCACAAATTGTGTTTTTGTTTTCTTTTAGCTTTTCCTCAACATAATTAAAAGAACCTTGATGCTTTATTTTACTTAGAAATTTTAATTAGAATTTAGACAACATTGATGTATTCTATTTGATGAGATGACACTTGTTTCTGTAATAAAAAATCTCTATGAAATGTATGACAATAAATTGATGTAATCATACATGTTCTTAACTCTATGTGTATACTTTTAATATATAAAAAATAACATAAATTAAATGATACAGTAAATAATATTATAAATATTGTTACAATACATTTTGCAAAGATTTTATATTCGATAAGACAATACTTATTTTTGTAACGTGTGAAATCTTTATAAAATGTATTCCAGTTAGTTCATGCAACCATGCATATTCTTAACTCTATGCATATACTTCTAATAAATAGAATATAAAATACATTAAATGTTAGTTAATACTATGAATGTTGTTACAATACATTTTGCAAAGATTTCAAATTTAAAAATTATACATAAACAAATAAAATATAATATTAGATTATTATGCGATATATATCTTGTGTTATCAATAATGCTTCTAGATATGACTATGAATACAATTTTAATATAAGGAATTAAATACTAAAGTTAAATGACAAATATAAAACAACATTTTCCTCGAATTGGATTATTATAATAGAAGAAACTTTAATCTTCATATGCATCACTAAGCACTGGATATTATTTGGCAATGCTATGGTGTCCAAGCTATACTTCAAAGTGACCGAATACTCTTCCTACAACTAAATCTAACCATAAATAACAACTTTTCATTACAAATCTCATACAATCTTTCATCGCTGACCATCTTACATCCTTAACATTAAACTTACTGACACCTTATGTATACTTATTCATACCATGCACAGTCAAATGACCGCTTTAAAAAAAAGATAAGCTTATATTTTCATATGGAGTAATATTTTAGCAAAGTGGACAGTCAACAATTTACCTTATTTTATTCAAAATTGATTAGAGTAAATTTTGTGTGTTTTCATCAAAAACAGGATTTCTAAAAATTACATCACATCTTTACAAATTACAGAACCTGATCATTTAATCAGTCATGGTATACACACACACATTTAGTGTTAATAAATCTTAAAATTAAACAAATAGAAGAAAGTATCGCCATAAAACACTGACAGCTAAAACAAATATATGAATCTGAAATAGATGAAAGAAAATTAAATGTAACATGAAAAAAAAAAGAAACAATCCTATGATTAAAAATTCATTTTACAGACTGTCCTCCTTTAACGACTAACTCTAAACTTGTAAAATCAATATTACAACTCTTTCTCATTAAAGTTTTCCAGTGGTGGACACTAGAAGAAGATACAAATAGATTTTACAATTAACTCAATTCGTTCGATCTTTGTGAAATTAGTTCACATACTACAAAAGTTACTGTGTTAAATGTTTTGTCAAGATCCATCTCTTAACAAACTAATCTCTTTCTTTCTTTCACACATTCTCAATCACCCACCTAAAAATCTGCACATACTAACATACGAAAAAATACAGAAAAGAAAATAAATGTATCCAAGAACATACTTGGACTCTCTCATTCACCTTAATTTTTTTTTGCCTAATCTAAACCGAGAAAGTCGCAAGATAGCAGGCAAACACTATGGTAACATGCATGTTTAGAAATGCGTGAAGGCTATGTCCCTCACCCTTCCTCAGCCCGGTTTTCTAGATGTACATGTTATGAGCTATAATACGAGATGATGTTTTTTTTTTTTTAGAAGAAGGTAAACAGGTGAACAGAGTAAACAACACAGTTTACTTACATTTTGTCACCGACTGGTGGTCCTCCTCTTCCTCCTCCACCTCCCCCTCCTTCTCCTCGTCGTCGTCTCGGTTTCTTCCGGACGATTTCCCCCTTCGCACCGCTAATTATTTTTGACTTCGCGCAGTAACATTATTTCTTTACGATTGTATATACACGTACGTACAACATACGCGGAGGGAGGAGGGCTGGAGGGCAGCGGGGGATGGTCGAGCGGGTGGCAATGGTGATGATGATGGTGGTGGTGGTGGTGGAAATGTTGCTGGTGGTGGACGATAGGGGGGAATCGAGAGGGAAAAAAAAGGTCCGAGAGCGAGTTTGATCAAAACCACAATTTTCGTGACGTCATCGGCTCTCGGGCATGCGCAAAAAGATATCGGTGATTTTCCATCGAACCGCGAAAACACGTGCAACCAGTCGACACGCCACTTTTTCTTCTTTTTCTTCTTCTTCTTCTTCTTCTTCTTCTTCCTCTTCGTCGTCGTTGTTGTCTTCTTCTTCTTCTTCTTCTCCACTTTCTGTTCTCTTTCTATCTCTCTCTCTCTCTCTCTCTCTGTCGCGCGCTCACTCACTCGTTCACTCAGCCGCTGCTCACTCTCTTATTCGCTCTTACTTATTCACACTCCGTTCTTTCGTTCGTATTATCTTTTTCTTTCTCTCTCTTTATTTTCTTTTTTCTTTTTCTCTCGCACTCACTTAATTTTCTTTCGATTGATGCACGCGCCTACATTGCTAAGAAACACGTAACATTATTGCATCGAAGCGATTTGGTCTTCTACAGATTCCAACTGCGATTCGCGAAACCGACAACCAAGACTGCCGACATCTATCCATCCACTCCCACTTGTTAAGCGATGTACACTGACGTCATCGATAGTTTACCTTGAAGCATGACATTGAGTTGCAGGCTGAACAACTCTTTAATGCCAAACTTACTATTTACTCGCGATGCGGTAACTTTTCGCTTCGAAGTTCGAACACATATTGAGCTATATTTCCAAATATCATTACGAATATATACGAATATTTACGAATAAATACGAATGTATATTTATATGATTCTTATTATAATTTTATAATTAATCTTTTTCGTGGCTACGTATGACAGTGTTTATGCACGTAACATATTCAAGAACGAACTGAACTGTTTTGTGCTTATTTTAATGTTCCTATGTGAACGCTGATTGGCTGACGTAAAATGGAGAACGTTTAGGTAATTTAAACGACATTTATAAATATAATTATTATTTAATTATCGAATTATTGTATTTATTTGTTTTTTTCATTGTAATATTTAATACTTATCATTCGATATTTGTATTATTTAATAAAATACAATTTAAGAAAGGTTAATAAATGGTAGCCAATAATATCACAGATATAGAAATGTGTGAATTTTATTGGTTCGATTTTTCCCACCAATTTCGTGTTCCATTTAAATGCAACATGGCGTTTTTTGACAGCTGTCTAATTGTTATTACTTTAATGTTTAAATGTATAACCTAGAATAATAGTTATATTCCACTACTAAATGATGAAATTAATGATTATTAAATTATATTTATAAGGTAAAATTACATTGTAATTATGTCAAAATGTAAGAAAGATAAATGGGATTTTAATATAAATTCAAATAGTGCATATACATACATAGTTGCAAGTGTACCTATATATTATAATTACATACTTTTAAAATGACTCATTTTTTGTTTGCAATTAGCATTTTTATCTATCTACGCAATAATTTTGAATGTTGCATTCATTTTATTTCATTGCAATTATCTTTACTACTAATGAACATAAAAGTTCATTTATCATTGTTTTATGATAATAGAATTATATAATATTTTTCAAATATTAATACAATGGTACATTGGTTTATCAAATATTAATAAAATGATACATTATAATTATTATGGTAAAATATTTTTATTATTTAATGTTATAAGACAAATCTTTAGCATTAAGAAACTGTATGCTGTTTCGAGTAAATCAACCTAAAAATCTTAAAGAAATGGATATGAGTATAATATTTGTCTTAATTGTTTGCGCATAGTACAGGAAAGACCATTAATCCTTTAATCATCTAGCAATAAATAAATTTCATTTATTAACAATATTTATCTAAAATTTACAATGTTCAAAAATACAATGAAAGATAGGACGGAATTTGAAACAGATTCAACATGTACAAATCATAATTTTTTGAGAGAAATGGCATAAAATCTTTACAAACTATTAGAAAAATTTTATTGCTTTGAAGTAGTATTTGACGAATGAATTGTATCCTTTGAAGTAGTGCTTGACGAATGGATTGTATCCTTTGGAGTAGTGCCTAACGCATGGGTTGTACTCTTTGGAGTGGTGCTTGACACATGGATTGTACTCTTTGCAGCAGTATTAGATACATGGATTGTATCCTTTGGAGTCGTACCTTCTTCATGATTACTATTCACTGTTACTTTCTTATCGTTATCTTTCTGTGTAACAGCTGGTTTGTCACTAAGTTCAATTTTAATTGTTTTTTCAGTTGGTTTTTCCAGATTCTTATTTAAAGGTGCTATAATGGTTAATATTCTATCAGTTGATATCTTGGAAGTAATTTTATCGGTCTCTGCTTGATATGGTAACAAATATCTACGGACGAATTGTCTAGAGACGAAACCATCTTTGTCCTTCTTTTCTTCATGCTGACCCTCAACGATGATGTATCCATCAGCGACTTTGACTTTGATTTCATTAGGTTTGAATTCTTTTACATCCAGGACGATCTTGAAGTTATGTTCATCAGTGGTTACGCTGGAGGTATGTTTATCTTGATTCAAAAATTCAAACCATGGTCCGTTAAGAAGAGCATTGGCAAAAGGTGAAAACGGATATAAGCTGTTTATTTCAGGAAACAAGTCATTCTCTAAATTGTTATCTATCAGCTTTTGAGACTGATCTATGTCCGTCAACAAAGAAGAGAATAAAAGTGGTAGCAATATCATAATTATTGTTTTTCTTCTTTCTTTCTTTCTTTCTTCTTCTTAAATTTGTATAATTTTTCTCTTTCTTGTGCTCTTTCTTCTCGTTTGTCTTGAAAACTTTCACACGCTCTTGATATTTAAACCACGTAAATAGCAGCAGTGAATTTTCTTGCTTTTCTTTATTCTTATCTCGTATATATTTTACAACTGAAGGATTGTCCTCATGCACGGCGGTATTTATCGACAACGGTTCTTATCAGTAGTGGGGATAAGAACTTATGGAAATTTCAAGAAACGTCAAAATGCCACGTAAGGAATTAGGAAATTCGACGTTTTTTTTTGTATTATACATAAGGACGTGCGTACCTCTTTTTTTCTGAAACCAACATGAAATTGGATTATTAATTGATGTTGCCTTGGTGCATGTGTGTTTTTGTTTTTATTTATTATTTATTTTTTTATTTCAATTTGTAAATTTTCGATTATTTTCTTTGTTTTATTGTTTATGCATCGTTAACTTCGTAATCGCTCGCGTTAGTTGTGTCAAGGAGACAAAATTTAAATGTTTTATATTTCTAACAAAAATGACTAATCATTTGTTATTGTAAATTCTAATTTTAAAAATGAATTTTAATTTTGCTTCGTTTCCTCAAATTTGGTTAAATTTTCTTGCAAGGTAAAATTTAAAGTTTCTAGGATTGTTGTATGAAACACGTACACATTTAATTATTTATATTATTCGTTCTACTTTTTATTATTAAAATTAATTTATAATATATATATATATATGTATGTGTATATGTAAAGGAAAATTTTTGTAATTTAACTGAAAAATAAAGTAAGAAATAAGTCATATTTTTCATATACACGTATTTTCATGCATCTGTTTAAACTTATTTTGTGTAACAATGCTGTTGACTCACTCATAGTGTGATGAAATTTTTCCCTCTATTTTTAAAAAGAGGAGTCATATATTTACAACATTATGCGTAATTTTTAATAAATGTTCTTCAGATTTTTTTTATATGTTTTTTTAAAAAAACAAAGCTATATTACTGATTAAAGATTTCATTTATGTATTAAAAATATTCCATATAAGTAGATGTCTCAATTATTATTCTTAAGGGTCTAAATTTAAACGTAAATGTGTTCATGAGCGAATCAAAAGTTGTTTTATGTTTCAACATTTTGTAAAAATTTTGTTAATTAAGAAAAGGAAAGAATTTAAAATTATACTACGCTAGAAATATGTGTTTAATCGATTGATCATCTACTGTCAATAGAAAAAAAAAAAAATAAGTGTTTACATAAAAAATAATCCAATTGAAATTTCTTTACGTGGCCAAAATCATTTAGATGTTATCGATTCGAAAGGTTATTACGTGGCTTTCGTTTTGATATATATATATATATATATATATATATATAACACGTAATTTCAAACAAACACTGACGTGTCTTATTATTAGTATGTCTAATAATATATTAATGATAATATAATCTAATAAATCATTACGAGAAAAAGGATTTCTTCGTGATTTGCAGAAAAAGAAAATATATATAAACATATGTATAAACAAATCAAAGGACTTTTTGTTTTTAGAAAAATTGCATTTAAATACAAGAAAAAAAAAACAAGTTCTATTTTATAAATTATAAAAATAAATTATTAAAATATTTGTGATAATTATAAATACAAAAAAGAATCAATGATAATTTTTATAAAATATAATCACAAGTTTCATTATTTTGAATGAACAAACTTCGAAATTCGTTAAAACAATAAAATTATTTATACATTCTGTAAAGACCGCCTTTGAAATTGTTCGAAGTAAACATTCTAATCTTCTAATCGTCTGAACCCATTCTTTGAATTATTCCAAATTCATAAATAACGCATATATAAATACTTAACATGTGTATTGTCTCGAGAACGTTCTTTTTCGTTTACATATCAAATATTCGAGAAATCTCGACAATTCGAGACTTCACATATGTATATAAAAACTTATTTTATTTCTTTTTCTTCTTCCATTTACAATGTTAAATTATCTTTTTCTTGCACTTTACTGTTGTATATAACATTAATATTAATTCAACCTATTTAACATCGAGTTCATTTAATTTACATATTCTATATAAACAAAATTGACATAATAATAATTAACATATAAAATTATCTTAAAAAGAAAAAAAAAGCATTTTTAATTATATCAATTATTAAAGTAGACAAACAAAAACAAACGTTACGTATTAAATTTCAATAAAAAATTTAACAAATTCTTATTTATTTGAACAAAATTATATAGAAGTAAGTTTTTAAAGGTCAAGGGCATGCGTGCAGTAACGTCAATCGTGAGAAATCATTGGTACGTTTCGTTGAAGAGACGAGTCTCGTTTTATAAAATGATCGGTTGAGAAAGAAGAGAGGGAGAAAAGAAGAAGAAGAAGAAGAAGTCGAGAATGATCGAGAGTAAGAAAGAATAAAGATGCAACAACGGTCAATGTACTCTTTGAAGCTTCGAGACATAACACATGGACGAATGCGTCGATGCAATGCAAACTTTCCGTCTGGCCACCGCCTACTATCAATTTTCAAATTGCGATTTCAATACGTTTGCTTATATAAATAATATGTAAGTTTATTCAAAAAAAAAATACGTGTGAATTTGTAGAAAAGAAATTGCATCGTGCTTTATTTATTTATTTTTTTTTTTCAATCTTTATTATCTTAAAAATAAATTGTATTTGTTTGTATAAACAATAAGAACAATTTATTCGAAGCTATTCCTATACGTGAGAAAATTGTTGAAATTAATTATATCTTTTTTTTTATTTTTTTAAATATATTTTTATCATAAAAATAAATAAAAATCAAGATAGCAATATCTGTAAGAAAATTTAAATAAAAAATATGATTTGTTAATGGAAATTAATATTAAATAATTACAGAAATATGTTGCAACTTTTTATTATTTATTTTTAATACGTCAAATATGAATTGATAACAAACGTTGTTTATACCGTACGTTTATCTAATCAGAAACGAGAATGTTGGAAGAACTTTCATGAAAATTATTGTTTCTCTGTTAAATTGTGTTTATTTTTTTTTTGCTAAAAATTTACATTACACTTTCCGATGTTGTATTAATGAATCTAATTAATTATTAATTTTGATATCGTATGTATTTATGCATATCCATTGCTTATGTATTGTCGTGTATTTGAAAATGATACGTGCACGGCCGATGCACTTCAACATTTTCTCTTACGTTGGCATTCTATTTTAAAAACTTGAAACACGTTTTATTAATGTAACGACACGTAAGAAGATATGATTACGTTCATTTTCTAATTATTTATATTTATTTCTTTACAATACAAAATTTTAAATATTCGTTTAAAAAAAAAAAAATCTATAGAATCTAATATCATGTTAAAAAAAAAATTACAAAATTTCATTTAAAAAACGTATGATAATGTTTCTAAGCAATCAAATGTAGAAAAATAATAAAGCAAACGAATTCTGTATTGACATTAATTTAAAAAAAAAAAAAAAAAAAATGAGAAAAGAATATTTTTTTATATATCAAGCAAATATTCTGAACAATTATGAAACCTTGAAACATTTTTATTAATGAACATACCTTGAAAATCATTAAACAAACAAGCCTCGTCAATGATGTACATCAAAAATACAAAAAAAAAAAAAAAAGAAAAAAATTGTTTCGATACGTTCTAGAAATTCCGATTGAAAAAGACATACGAGTATGTTGTCTCGAAATTTCGATAGAAGACTCGAATACTCTTTCTGTGCGTCACCTCATTTCGAGCGGATATAAAAGCGCGCCACCAAGACGCCTAGACTCAGTAAACGTGCAACTGACAACGAATAAACTTTATAAGCAAAAATCGAAGTATCGAAGCAGTGTTGAAAGATTTTAAAATTCGAAAAAAAAAAAAAAGGAAACATTTTGAATAAAAACATAGATGAGAATAAGAATGTCTCTAATACCAAGATTATTTTCACATTGGTGGGAAACGTTGGAACAACCACATAGATTGAGGGGTCAACGTTTTGGTATGGGAATCAATCCAGAAGAATTTTTGCAACCATCCGTGTTAGAAAGATTGGAGGATAGAAGATGGTCACCGCTATTAGCATCACCATCATCATTTTACAACTATTATCGACCATGGGCTGATCTCTTACGTGACGAAGATACCGGTGGTTGGTCTGTCGTTAAAAATGACAAGGATAAATTTCACGTGACTTTGGATGTTCAACATTTTAAGCCTGATGAAATTAACGTCAAAATTGTCGATAATTACATCATCGTTGAAGGTAAGAATCACGGTGTCATTCATTTTAATTCAAATGCTAATATATCAATAATTTCAAAAATTAAATTTAATTACATGATTAAATGTATCTTTATTTTTAATTTGATTCATTTTACGATTATTTTTGATATTATTAAACAGGCAAACATGAAGAAAAAGAAGATGAACACGGTATCATTTCGAGACAGTTCGTTCGAAAATATTTAATACCCGACCAATGTGATCCTGAAAAAGCAACAAGTTCCTTATCATCCGATGGTGTCCTCACGATAACAGCACCTAGGAAACCAGAGGCTATTGAAGAAAAGAAGGAACGAGTTATTAAAATCGAACATACTGGAAAACCAGCTTTGGAAAATGAAGAGGAGAAGAAGTCTGCTATTAAACAATGAACAAAAAAATATTAATTAATTAGTGTTGTATCCTACAATCACTATCATTCGTTCCTTTTTGTATTATATTTGTACATTATTTTTTTTTTTTATTAATGATTTATATATTAGTTATAATACTTTGTAGTACCTGTATTTTAAATAAATATTTTTAATAATACATACCAATTTGTTATCAATTTGAAATCGACTTATTGCATAAAACAAATCCTTCTTGTATCTACCAATTATGCAGATAATTGATACAATCGATTAGATAGTAAGATGATCGTGCTATAATTGCTTTAAAATTACTTCAAACCTACGTAAACATCTAATTATGAAATTTTATGACTTATGAAATAAGATTACGTTGCAAGAATGATAGAAATTGCTGATGATTGCAACTGATATTCGAATTCAATTGTAATAGAAAAAAAAAAAAAGAAATAATTGGTTTTGTTATTCGAAAATAATTTTTTATTTCGAACAGTAATTCGACTTTGAAATTGTTGATTATGTAATCAGATACTTTTTATGTAACTTCTCTCTGTAAAACAAAAAAAGAAGACGTACAAATTATACTCTTATGCAATTAAAAAATATTATAAACAAAATTGCAAAAGTTTGCTTTCATACGATCAAAGATTTTACTTTGTATTGTAATATTTTATTAAAAATTGAATTTTACTTTAATTTTTATTTTTATTCGTATTATTAAGTTATGAGTTAAATTATTTCAAGCTATGTTTAGATGCTGGCAAAACTAAAAATATCAAAAGACTGTGTACAAATGAAGGTGTTATTTTGATCTGCTACCGTCACTGTTTACGCCGTATCGTTTGTTACCAACGGCAACGCAAACACACTCATTTATATTCTCTATACTAAATTTTGTTTTGATGTTAAATATATATTTGAAAGGCAAATAATTTTGAATTTTCTAAATCTTTTCTAAGCCTTTTAGCTAAATATTTTTTGATGCACAATATATTTTTATTAAAGAATCAATGTGTGTGAAAATGAACAAATTCAAATAATTACAAATAATTAAATAGATTTAATTAAACATAGAAAAATAGAAAATAAGAAAAATACAAATTGAAAAATAAAATTAATTATAAAATTAATGAATTGTATCTTTGAAATTTTATTTCGAGGGAAAGGGTAACGAAAATTGACAAAACTTGAATTAAGGCAATAAAAGACGTGTATTTATTAAATTATAAAAAGAAATAATATTTTAAATATGTTTACAATATTCTTTGTTATAAAGAACATTACGAAGAAAAAAAGAATATCCATACACACTTATAGTCGTAGGCTCTTAAATATATAAATATTAAGAGATGAAATATTTGGTTTATTTAACTGCTGACATTGTCCTAATATAAGTGAGCGAATTACATTGTATTGGATAGATATTGTGTATACAATAATTTGTCCTACAATACTACATATACCAGTATTTCAAATGTAGCAGTTATAATAAAGTGTATTTATCGTGTGTATAATATTATCTTAACTCTAATGAGATATATAATATATGAGGAACTATCATTAATTATGAAATGTTAAAGCAAAAATTATTAAGAGAAGAACGATCAAGGAAAAGTACATAAAAAAATGTTAATATTAGTCCAATATTCTCTCTCTGATTTTACTTCTTTAAGAGAAGAAAGTACGTTTACTTCTTTTCGTCCTCTTTGTCCTCTACCTCATCCTGTTTCTTCTGAGCCTTCTGGGACTGGACTGCAGGTCTTCCAGTATGTTCGATCTTGATGGTTCTTTCATTCTCCACCTTGGGTTGTTCCTTTCTTGGTGCAGTAATAGTCAGAACACCATCAGAAGATAACTTCGATGTAACTTCATCGATCTCGCATTGTTCTGGAATCATATACTTCCGAACAAATTGTCTCGAGATCCATCCGTGCTCGTCACGTTTCTCTTCGTGTTTAGCCGTGACTACGACAAATCTGTCAACAACTTTAACGTCAATCTCGTTCGGTTGGAATTGTTGAACGTCCAAGACAACTTGAAATTTGTCTTTATCAGCTTTAACAACCGACGATCCGTTATCTTTCTGACGAATCATTTCAGCCCATGGACGATAATAACCCATCGGGCATCTTTCTCTCGGTCTGAGCAATTCCATTCTGCTTGGAATAGCAACCAGTTGATCGGGTGTCAATGCCAGGCCAAAATTTTGATCCAAAAGACGATGTGGTCTTTCCAAATCCTCCCACCAGTCGGAGAAAAGAAGTGGTAAAAGCGACATGTTTACAAAATTTACTTTTGTAATATTCTTTCAATCAAGAAAATTGTTATATTTCTTCTCCTTCTTGTATCTTCTTCTTCTTTTATTTCGTTGTTCTTAGATAACTTTGTTATACTCGCTTTATGAATTCGCTTGGTAAGTTCGCTCTAGTACGTATTCACTCGAAGCTTGTTCGGCTTAAACTGACATCTGCCTGCACGCTGCCGGCTTTATATTGATCGTCGTCCTCCCAACGAACATTCACGAAGCTTCGGGAAAGGAGATAGCGCCGACGCGTTTTCATTGATGTGTTTCTCTCTTTCTCTGTGTGTATTTCTCTGGACCTTCTATGTTTTTCTAAACCCTATAGATTTTATTTATTGTATTATTTTATCGATCCTTTTCGATTATTTTCTTTAATTATTTCAAATTATATTTCTGTATATAATCTTGTTTTCGTTTATTTTCTGACAATGAGAAAGAAACTAGAACTTTCGATCTCTTCTAAACGCAAACGTACGTTCATTCTCAACCGTTCCTTCACTAAAAGGTCGAATTGAATTCACAAATTGTCTTTTCTTTTTTCTTTTCCTTTCGAATTTTGATATTGTACATATATTTGTTTTCTTTTTTTTTTGAATTTTGAAGACGAAAATTATTGAGGTTATTTAATATGTCAGAAAGTTCTCGATATTGAATTTACCAGATACTACGATTATTTTTATCAAAATGTCTCATATTACCTTATCGTTTTTTCTCACGGATTTTTTTTTTTATACAAAACATTTTTAAAGACACATGAAAGGGAGAATTATTATTAATTTCAATTATGTTTTCATATTGTAGGACTGAAATGACAAGCAAAAAATTAAGACTTTAATTTTAATCGATGACATTGCAATTATGATTTAAATATCAACAATACAATTTGACGTAAAAAGAAAATTTACTTTTTTTTTTATATTTAAAATGGCTTGAAATAAAAAATGAAATCTTTTTATGCATACGTCGATACTACAAATTTAGAATCTTATTTTTTTTCATATTTATAAAGAATTAAACAATTACATAATTATCAAATAATTTTATTGAAACTTTGAAAAATGATGTTGAAAATACGTTCAAGATTTATAATTTATAATTTAATGTGCTATTTTTCACAATTTCATGATTCATTTAATTATTATAAATAATAAAATAATGTTTAAATGATTTTCAAACGAAACCTTTGAAAATAAACGTCGAGAATTCGTGATCTTTTTATAAAATTACGCTCGAGGTCTTTAACCTTTAATTCAATGTGTACTACAGTGTCTATTGATTTTCTATTAAAAACCTTTTGGGATTTCCACAATTTGCAAAGAATGTCTCTACATTTTGCAAATCGATCTAATATCTAATAAATTCTATTTTATTTTCATTGATAATCGTCGAAAGAAATAAAAAGGGAATAGCTTTGGTATGTTTACTTTTTGATTAAAGGCATCGGTTCTCGCATAATAACCGTCATAATATTTTTATTTCGTTCTTGAACTAGTTCTCTCGAAGTTATTCTACACATTTAATAAAAAAGATTCCTTTCGATCGATTTCATCTCAAAATGAAACCGGTTTTACACACATCAGGTAGTGTCCTTTTTGTGTGTTTGTATTTTCCTTCTATACATTTAACAAAAAAAAAAAAAACAAAAAGTAAATTTCGTCGTAATAATAATTTATTTTATTACATCGTTGTAAGAAGTACAAATGTTCTTTTGCAAGTGCATTAGAATTTTTCTTGATTATGTAACAAATAAATTCTGGCACAAAATCAAACGTTCTCACGCAATTCTTCGTGACTTTTAATTTCATTTTTAGAAACGTTTATTAATACTGCATGAATAATTTATTAATATCAAAGAACATAATTCTAAGTATTTGATGAATCATAAGATGAGATAAATCAAAAAATACGATATATCGAATATTCTAGATTAAAATGATATTTTATTTCAAATGAACAAGCTAACGATCGATACGAAATTTCCCGCCATTTCTAGCAAATTCAAGAAGGTTCGGCGTGTTTCTAGAAGGCGTCTACTAACTCACGTCTTATTAGTCAAATTATTAATTCCACTTTCAAGCCGTCATTTCTATATTCCAAAAAACATAATTCTAAGTATTTGATGAATCATAAGATGAGATAAATCAAAAAATACGATATATCGAATATTCTAGATTAAGATGATATTTTATTTCAAATGAACACGCTAACGATCGATACGAAATTTCCCGCCATTTCTAGCAAATTCAAGAAGGTTCGGCGTGTTTCTTGAAGGCGTCTACTAACTCACATTCTATTGGTCAAACTATTAACCCCACTCTCAAATCGGCATTCCAATAATAAATCTTCGTATACACGTGTTAATATGTAAATAGTAAACAAAATTTTGAAGGATATTACGTCTGGAATATTTTAAACGAGAATCTTCTACAAGTTTAATAAAAAAGAATAATTAGGTTAGAAATTAATAAGAAATAGAATTGATTATTGATTTCAAATTCATTCAAAACAATTAATTATTATATGTTAAAAATGAAAACAAACAAAGAAGACAGGATAAAAATACGTTATTCGATAATCGTTGAATAACAATTAATAACAAGTCAATAAGTAGCTTATTTTTTTTATTACCAATACTATTTTTAAATTGATTTGAAAGTTTGGATTATTTTTAATGTTTATTTAAAATCAACATCAATCATTATCATTCATTAGTTAGAATTATGTATCATAAATCAACTTTATATTCACCAATGATGAGAAAGTTTAAAAATAAGTACAAAATAAATTTAAATGCTCAAAAATTTAAGCCAGAGAACCTACATATAATAGTAACTGTGAGGAAAGTTACCATCATAGGTAATCACAAAGATGGTTGCAAAGTTAAATGATTTGAAAAGAGGTACATGTTTCCTGAGACATGCAATATGGATTGAGTAAACTCTACTTTCTCAATTAATAGAGTTCTTACTATCATTGTACCTGAAATGGTATATAAAAGAATTGTTAACATTGAAATTATAAAAAAACTTAAGTCGCGATGGAAGATGATGAAACTGATGAAAATTAAATAGACTTCAGGTCCTGAATTTAATGCAATAGACAAAACAAAATAAGATTGTTGAAGAATATTCAAAACTAATCTCTATATAAATTTGCAATTAAATATTATTAAATATTAATACTATGCCGTCCAATGACACTATGTTGGTGTCACATGAAAACTATTGGACAAATGCCACAGTTAAAAGATAAAATCTTGAACATATGTGCAGATGTTAAAATGTTAAGTCTACATAATTAATTATTGTTCTATTTTCTCTATAAGATAGAATTCTATAATTTAAGAAATGTTTAGATATTTTATATAATAAAAGTTATATTTTTTTTGGTCTATAAATTTGTTTTCATTCTTATTTATAAATTAAATGTCTCTTTTGAACTGTAGAAAAAATAAAAATTTCGGCCATGATGACTGATGGATTGTCTAAGGTTTGTCCATAGGACGCGGTGATTCTCTTTTATCAATTAAATAGAAGATTTTCTTCTTATAATTAAATTGTTTTTACTATTTGTATAAAGTTGAAAGTCTGTGGATCTTTAACTAACTATGGTAGGAATATTGAAAAATTATTTCATATAAATTACAACCATGGTAATTTGTTATAAATATAAAGTATAAATATATTTTCTTTATGGACGGATAATTGTACATCGAATATACAAAGTATATTAAATATACAAATATATATATAAGCTTAAAGAAAAGTCACTAACATTATATAAAAGTAATACTAATTTTTTTGATCAATTCATGCGATATTAAAACATTTTCTTTTTTCTTTTAAAAATTAACTTGGTAACATTACCGCTCTATATAATTGTTATTAACAATATCAAACTTTATCTTACTCTCATAGTAAATATAACCCCTTGCATTACAATTTAACAAGTTGAGTTGCATGCTAAAGTTATTGCTACATTTTATGCTTCTTATGTTTGTCATGTGTAGGATTCGTGTTTTTTATACTTAGGCTTCAAAACGTATCATGAATCTTATACGTTATTATAATGCAAGGGGTTATTAACATAACATTCTAACCAAAATAATAAAAAACATCTTTTTAAATATAAAAGTATTAATACATTGTAACTATTAATTGCTTATTTATGGACGGATTAATCGAGTTAAACATTTCTGTGCAATTATTAGATTTAAAATCTTTCTCTAAAGACGTATGTATATGACTTTAACTAAATATTTAATGATTACTTTGTTGTACTCTTAAATTGGTATCTTAGCGTGATAACGCTTGGCAATAAAAATCTATAAAATATTTTTTGCACGGCACACATAAGAACACTTCAGTTGCATTGTTTTATAAAACTAATCATTTTAAAAGCATGAACAAATAATTTTATATTCGTCAAAATAAATGCGTTCAGATCTGAATATTTGAAAATTAATAGAAAAAGAATTTTGTGTAACTTGTGTAACAAAATCTATGATGATTGATTCTTAACATTATGTTGCAAAATATCCTATAATACTAGAAACAACTAACAAAATGATAGAAATATTAAAATTAGTTGCACTGTTGCATCTGTTATCAAAATAACAGAAACACCATGTTACTTCATCGTAATAATCTCTATGGATATCTAGCTGATGAATACTATTATTAACGTAATGTCCTAGACGAACATCTTTTGCAGCAGGACGACATCCTTCATAACGATCGGCTGGTATATCTGTTCTGAAGCTGCGTACTGAACTCAAGCATTCTCTTGTAATGATGGTCTGAGCTACACAATTTTATAAATTTATAATATTAAATTTTATATTTAACAATAAAAAGAACATATTTTTAAATGATTGATTTATTATAGGAATTAGTAGTATTACCCCCTTTTCTTTCAATTATTTTAACGCATTTGTCATCGTACTCTGGACAAGATTCTCCCCAGTACCACAACCAATTTAATGGAGTGCCACACCCTGGATGATTACTGTTGCATCTATAACAAAGAAGACTTTCCCCTAAAATAATAATATTATTTATTAAATAATGTTTAATAAATATAGAATTGTCAATTAGAACTAATCCATAAGACCACACCTTACCTTTACTGATTAGTATACTTAGTAGAAAAATAGATAATACAATTTTCTTTTCCATGTTAACGAGTTCATACACTTGTTGTCACTAATTGCAAATATTAACAATATTGTTTAAAATATTGTTATTATTATTATTATTTGTTCTTTTAAATTTAATAAAATATATATATATATATATAAACACAATAAAATTCTCTTCTGTTATTCAACACACGCGTAGTTTTAATGAAACATGAGTTTGGTAATTAGTTTTTCATATGAAGAACAGGTGGCATAAGTATTTGAGCCAATCACAATGCTTCATTTAGAAATATTTCTTAACTAGATGAGTCATAATTTATTATTATAGGATAATTTATATTATTGATAATGATTAATCAAAGTAAATTTGTGATATGAAAATTTATTGAGCATAGAAGTAAGCAGGAAATCATAACATTTAAATGTAACTTGGTGTTTTATCAAAGAATATACAATTATATAGAACATCGCAAGACCACTTTTCGTGTAAAAAGATCATCTTAGTTAGCATCGGGACCACCAGTGGGCGATAGTAGGTACTTAACGCAACGCGATGACAGTACAAACCACGGAGGTACAAACTATCCAAAAATATACTACTGCAGCGATACATTCGACGTGATACACTAGCGCCTTTTCTCCCTATGCGGGAACCACACCAACTAAGTTCGAGGTTGAATGTAACGGTTGAGAGTATAATGTTCTAGTGACATTTATCCATAAATTCCTAATACGTGAACATATAATAATTTATTATCGACGATTACAAAAACAGGGATCTGTAATTATTAATAACCTAAAAAAATTCTATCTCTATAGAAGTATTCTGTATTCTTTGCTACTAGAACTTTATTTATTATATCAACAACTATCGATAATAGTAGATTTCTACCTTAGCTACTAAAAACATAGTATTTAAATTCAAAACAATTCGATTTAAACAGAAAGGCTATTTAATTTTTAAAGAGCCGCTTTTTAAAAGGATAATTTCTTACAAAGTACAAAAAAAAAAATTGTTGTTCACGATAATCTTTCGCTGTGTTAATTAAAAAGATAAATTAATTGATGACTCGCAAGAGAATTTGAAAAGAGAAAAAAAGGAAATTAGAAAAGAAAAATATTTAAGAAGATACTATAGATTTTTAATTTTGTCTTTTCCTTTCTTTCTCAAGTTAGATAACTCTAGATAAGTAGATGGATAAATAGGTGGAGACGAAAACTTTAGAGATATTCTCTTTTGAAACGGTTTCCCTCTTCTTTTTTTTCCTTTTTTTCTTTACTTTTTGTCTTACTCTTTCTACATTTTAGCTTCGATCACTGAAAACTCAATTTCGTTATCTTGGATAAAAGTAGTATCTATCTATCTATCTATCTATATATATATATATATGTATGTATGTATATGTATTATACATACAGTTATGCCTGCTTCTTTAGTGTACCTATAACGTAGCTTGAAAAGCTTTTGAGATATTAGATATGAACTTAAAGCTTTTCTCTCTCTCTCTCTTTGAAAGAAGAAATGAAAGAATAAAAGGAAAGAGAAAGAAGAGAAATAAGAAGAAGACGAAGAAAAAGAAGAAGAAGAAGAAGAAGAAGAAGAGGATATCTTGTGGAGTCCCACGGTGGCAGCCCGAGGCGCTCAACCAATTAGCTAACTCCATGGCACTTTACCCTCAAAACCGCTAACGAAGGAGCCGAGCGAGCAAAGAAAATCGGACGAAGGAAGCGTAATCCAAGCTTTCTTTCTTTTTCTTGCATTAAGAATCATTCTTTCTTTCTTTCATACACCCTCGCTCGATTCGATTCACTCGAAGCTATTTTCGATCTTGAAAAACATGATAATCAGCGAATACAATCTCGTTTTTACGTTTCTTTTATCGATTGCATATTTTTTTATTACTATTATTAAAACAATACGTTTTTCACTTATCGACTTATAAATGAAAAATATTATTTATTAATTCATTATTTGTGTTGTATTTATCTTTGCATATATAGACCTGATCATTCATTCTTTACGATTGCATTGTTTTTATTTAAGAAAATTATCACAAAAGAAAGAAAGAGAAAGAGAGAGGGAGAGAGAATAAGCAAAGATATAAATATTAAGGAGAAGCTCGAGTTTTCTTTCCGAAGGGAAAAATTGACCGAGCCCCATGGGTTTTATTCTTTTCTTTTACGGTGAGAATAACAAGTTTTCAGATGCATAATAATTTGATGTAATGATTCGAGTGAACGAAGCGAGTGGAAAATTATGGAAAAGAAAAGCAATAGAGGAACAGAGAGAGAGAGAGAGAGAGAGAGAGAGAGAGAGAGAGAGAGAGAGGGAGAGATAGAGATTAAGAGAGAAAGCAAAAGAAGGATGGAGACAGAATATATACACGTCAAAGGAAACCGAAAAAGGATTTTTCTCTTTTCTATCACGTTTACATATATATATATATATTTAATCATGTACGAAGTTCTCGTGATATTGCCTTTGGCTACAGAGAGAAACGAATTAATTCGAGATGTTAATTTACAGGGGTGATAACAATCGGTAAGTGTGCTTCTACCCACCTCTTCCCCCTTGTCATCTTCCTCTATTCCTCTAGCACCCCTTTTTCTTCTTTATCGTATTCATGACCTTTACCCTCGTGTCTCGTCGAAATATTTTCTATCTTTTTCTCGTTCTTTTTTCTTTTTTCTTTCTCTCTCTCTCTCTTTCTCTCTCTCTTTTTCTCTCTCTCCTTTTCTATTCATAGACCAAAGAGATCAGAGAAATTCAAAAGTAAACGCTATTCTCGCGGAAGTCAAACGTTTTCCTTGTTCTCACCCTGCGAAGAAACGCTTTTCAAACGGCGGCTACGACTCTTGGATTAGAATTTTCCCAACGAACAGACACAAAAAAAAAGAGAAGGATACTTTAATTTCTCTCTCTCTCTCTCTCTCTCTTTTTCTTTTTCTTTTTCTTTTTTACATTTTTTTTTCCCTTCACTTTCTTTCCAACCTCCTCATGTTTTCAACCAAACTTCAAAGCAGGTATTTTTTTCTTTTTCTTTTTCTTTTTAATTCTCACAGTCGAATTCGTTCGTATTCGTTGGAGGAGAATTAAGATGACCCATCAATGGAACTAAAGGTGACCTTGATATACGAAAGATTTATTTGACTTTATGATTAAAAGGAAAATTGTAAAAAAAAGAGAAATAGTATATTACTCACCTAGGGAGAAAAGTATGGCATTCCGACCCGCGAAATATTGTCACTCGAGCCGAAGGGTGAAAAAACACATTACATTACGTATAAATATTATAACAAGATGACCGGTTCGTTTAATGTGACTCGTGAAAATGTAATTATCACAAAACAATTCATATTATTCTAAAATAAAAATAATTATTACATGAGAAAATAAACAAATTATTGTAAAATGAAATACTATCACATTATACGATCATGAACATATCAATAGCATTAAATAAAAATTCTATTACACACACACACATATTATAATATATGAGCATATAATAATAAATCTACACGTGTATATGTATCATGTATACATATATTTTTATTTTTATGATCTCGTAAACTATACATACATATCAAAGTATGAAGTTGGATTATATATAGATGTATCACGTCATTTGCATGTTCTTCTTTTACATATCTATGTATAATATAATACAAACACAAGGAAACTCGAATCTTGAGATCTCGCGATAAGACTTTTGCGTTTTTTCGTTTTACACGGTGTACTAGGAGAATGGTAGAAGGGGGAGAAGGAGGAGGAGGAGGGGAAGGGGCTGCAGGCTCGTTGGCAGGCGCCTCTTCGTGCGATAAGCTACGACGCGAATACGAACGAGTCTTCTACTACCTTGGAAATTTATACGGGGGAAAAAGCTTTTCCCTTCCACTTTTCTTTTTTCCTCTTCTAACGTATATACATACGTATAAACGTACTCGTGTATACGGGGAAAAAAGAAAGAGTGTGTGTGTGTGTGAGAGAGAGAGAGAGAGTCACCTGGCTATAACGTGTTGACGCGTTTCTTCGGTAATCGTATTTGCTAACGTCGAGAGTGAAAAAGGAAAACGAGAAAAGAGAGAGAGAGAGAGAGAGAGAGAGAGAGAGAGAGGGAGAAGAAAAAAAGCTCAAAAAAATATAGAAAAGAATCAGGGACTAACACCCCACCCATCATCCTTTTCACAAAGTAATCGTCTTCGAAATCGTCGCTTGATGCCAAATTTCTATGCGGCTTTTGTGTGCTTTACGTGATCCTACCTTGAAATTTTGACGGAAAACTTCAAACGATACACATCTTACACACACACACACGCACACACACACAGACACACGCTAGCGCCTGTATTTCTATCTTATCGTTTTTTTCTCTCTCTCTCTCTTTCTTTCACATGAGTTTGCTTTTCGTTGAGATCGTTAAAATATGTTAAATAAGTTGGTATGTGTATATATTCTGTACTTAAGTGTAATATATTTTAGTCCGTTTAGAGATCCCCGATTAAGGGGGTAGTTTCTTTCAGCATAGAAAAGGGGTTGCAAGTTTCTGATCTCTTAAAATATTCGTGATCAACGTTCTGACTCAAATTTGCGTTCACTTACGGATGATAAAATATGGATCGTGCGAATGTAATTAATATAAATACATAGTTTTTCTATCTCCATCTCTTTTTTTTAATCTTTTTTGTATACTAGTTAAAAAATATTTTAACGTTTCTTCGTTTACTAAAAATCTCCAAATGAAGGTACTTTCCAAATGTACCATTAACGTTTGTACACTTAATCGAATTTGAATAGTTATATATCAGTGCTAGAACATATATTTTTCTACAATTATCAGATAGATCTTTCGAATGATTTACAAAAAAATTATTTGAAGATCGTTGATGTAACAATAATTATGTTTTTCACCAGAATTCATCCCTTTTTTTTTAATAATTCACGTTAATAATAAACTCAATTTATCTTTTTTTTCTTTTTTTCTCTCTTTGTTTTTCTTTCATTGTTCGAACATTAACGCGTTTGGTGTTAAAAAAGAACAAGTGAAAATAAATGATAAAAAATAGTTCACGTTTACGTGTTAGAGAAAGAGTGAATTAGAAAGAGAGAGAGAGAGAGAGAGAGAGAGAGAGAGAGTGAGAGTGAGAGATATGATCTAATTACGCATCCGAGTGATCGCGAATACGACTCGAAATGGAAATGATGAGAGAAAGCGTTTGCGAGAGAGATAAAGAGAGAGAGAGATAGATAGATAGATAGATAGATGGATAGACACTCTCCCTTGAAACTCTCTCTTTCTCTCTCTCTCTCTCTCTCTCTCTTACTCTCTCTAATCGTT